GCAAATGTGTTAGTGGAGAGAACTTCTGGCATTGTTCGCATTTCTTAACATAATTCTCAGCGTTAGTATGCATGGTCAACCACCAATACCCCTGCGTGACGGCCCGGTGAGCCAATGACCTTTCTCTTGAGTGAGCACCACAACTGCCTTCATGAATCTCAGCCAAAAAATCTTCAATCTTGTCAGGATGGACATATTCTAAATATGGCCCAGAGAGCTTTTTATAAAGTTTTCCCTGAGGATCCAGGTAATATCTCAAAGCCTTATTCTGCAACTTGTGGGCTTCCTTCTTCTCCTCTGGAAACTTATCCAAAGCAAGGAATGCAGCAATGGGATCCATTCAACTCGACCCCCTTTAAATGGTGTTTACAGCGGGATACTCTAGGGCACTGATATTCAGCTTCAGAATGAATCTCATTTCAATAGTACGCTTAACTTCTGAGTTTACTGCCAACGCAAAGCAGGCGAGAGAATCAATGTGTCTTTTCTAATCACAAGTAATCTGATTCAGCTCATGGCTATCAAATTTCAAGAGCAAGGAGTTGGCTATCTCTTTATGTAGGCCGCCATGCGGTCATTCTTAGCGGCATACTCACCTTTCAACTGGTTTATAACCAATTTCAAGTCACAAAAGACTTGCAGCCATTTAGCTCCCATTTGAAGCGAGTTTCTAAGGCCGACCAACAGGGCTTCATATTCGGCCTCGTTATTTGAGGCGTTGAAGCCAAGTTTAATCGATTGCTCTACCATTGCTCCTTCAGGGGTCATAATAACTACTCCTGCCCCACTGCAGCACTGGTTGGATGACCCATCGCAATACAACTGCTAGATAACATCGACATACATTCTCTATTATGGCTGTGACTAGGAAGTCAGCTGGCCCTGATCTAGCTCGGCTTATGGTGTAGTAAACTTGGTAACAAAATCAGCTAGGACCTGCCCTTTAATAGCCATCCTTGGTGAAAACTGGAGGTTGTATTGATCGAGTTCCAACACCCATTTGGAAACTCGCCCCGATGATTCTGCTTTGCGGAGGATTGAATGGAGGGGGTGATCCGTTGGAACCTTAATGGTATATGCTTGAAAGCAATGCATTAGTTTTCTAGTGGCCACTACAAGGGCTATGATTAACTTCTCCTGGGGTAGATATCAGGTTTCGGCACCCACCAAGACGGTACTTACTACCCATTTGGATACCGTAAGAGGTAAAATAAGCACATTGCTTGGCAAGGAGGTGGCCAAAAGCGGAACGGAACTGAGATAGGCTTTCAACCCTTCTAGAGTGGTTTGGCATTCTGGAGTCCATTTAAATAGTTTGCCCTACCGAAGTGTATGGAAGAATAGCCTACATCGATTTAAGGACTGACTGATAAATCTGTTCAATGCTGCAGCCATTCCCATTAGCTTTTGAACTTCTTTGGCCGAACCTGGTGAGCCAAGCTTTATGATAGCCTTAATTTGTTTCCGGTTAGTTTCAATTTCACAATAATTGACAATATAGCCAAGGAATTTTCTTGACCAATACCGAATGCACATTTTGAGGCATTGAGCTTCATTTTGTATTTCCAGAGAATATCAAAAATGGTAGCAAGATCGGCTAAGTGTGCCTTCTTTTCCTTGGATTTCGCCACCATATCATCGGTGTAGACTTCTATAGTTTTGCTGATTTGATCTTCGAACATGGCAGTGATCAATCTCTGATATGTTGCCTAGCATTTTTCAGTCCAACGAGCATGACCTGGTAACAATAGATTCCCCTAGGAGTGAGGAATGCCATTTTGACTTGGTTGGCTGGATTCGTGACAATTTGGTGATAACCCCTGTAAGCATCTAAGAAAGTCATGCCCTAATAATGTTAGGCAGTTGCATCCACAAATTGATCAATTCTGGGCAAAGGAAAATAATCCTTGGGGCAGGCCTTGTTTAGATCCGTAAAGTCTACGCAAACATGCCACGACCATGTCTTCCTCTTTACCATAACAGTGTTAGATAACCTCGTGGGGTATGTAACTTTGCGAATTGCCCCAGCGTCCAATAGCTTGTCAACTTCATAAATTACAATCATGGCATGCTCGGCAGCTGAACAGTGGCTTCATTGAACGACAGGCTTAAATTTGGGGTTAACATTCAGGTTATGCATAGCTATGTCAGGGTTTACCCCTGGCATGTCGTAGGTTGACCAAGTGAAAACATCGATGCTACCGAGGAGGAAGGAAAACAACTCTTTTCGCTCGGCGACATTAAGATTAAGACTTATACCGACTAAAGATTTTTTTAGGATCATCATTGATTTGTACTCGGTCCAGATCCTCTGTTACTTTCTCAACCAGAAGTTTCCCAACATCCTCCAGACACTTCTGATTCGAAATTTCAATTGAATTCACTTCCAATTCCTTTGGCCTTTTCTCAGCGGCAGTGAGATAACAATCCTTTGCCGATTTCTGTGAACCGCGGATTTGCTCAACACCGAATTGAGTCGGATATCGAAGGAGCTTGTGGTAAGTACTCGGTATAGCCTATATTGCGTGGAGCCATGTTCGACCTATGATTATATTACAAGGTGATGGGAGCTGGACAACTAGGAATTCAACCTCTAGTGTCTTGGTGCATGCCCACACCGGTAACACGATCTTGCCTAAGGGGTATTCCAGATTGGCATTGAAACCAAAAAGGGGGTAACTGGCCAGTATGAGATCTACATCTTTAAAGCCGAGTTTGAGAAACGTTTTATAGTACATTATCTCGGAGGTGCTCCCCTGGTTAACCAGGATACGCCCAATGGTTAATTTATTTACTCGCAACTCGATCACGAGGGCATTGTCATGAGGCACAGTGACCCCTTCAAGATCGGCATTGACGAAGCTAATTTCATTCGACAATCATTGCCATTTGGATGATGTACTGGGCTCGGAAATGGGTTGGCAAGATCGCTATGACTAGATCGTATTCACCTTGTTTGGTAGAGGTAAGCTATATATCATGTGGATTACCCTGATTAGAGATGAATCGGGGCGTACAACTAATACACCTGGTGGGTCATCCTTTTTTGGGAGATATTCAATCAGTCGGCCACCTTGGACCAAGTCTTCCACATAATCCTTCAGGGTGTAACATTTGTCGGTCGTGTGCCCATAGTCTTTGTGATAGTCGCATTTCAAGTCTCAGCGTCTCATGTCAAAGGGCCCAGCCATCTTGGTTGGTCATTTGAAGGAAGCCAGATATTGGATTTTTAGCAGAATCTTTCTGGCCAGCTCGAACAGCTCTGTGTATTTCTTATCTGACTGCCTAGAGTGCTTGTTTTCTACTTGGTATTGCTTGTTGTGTCGGTGCAAATCTCGGCGGTTCCCTTTCTGATCGACCTCTTGGCTTTAGGCTCCTCATTGATGGGGTTTTGTCTGGCAGTGCAATAGTCAGTGGTTGTACCAACATAGGTGTTGTCGTTTCTACAGCTTACAATCCAGCTTTAACTCGTATTGCATCATCTTCCACTTTGCAGTACTCTTCTGCTTAGACTGTCTTGGGAGGTTTTCGAGTCAGGGAACTCCTGAGCGAGCTATCGGGATGCAATCCCATCTTGAAGGTTGTGATTGCCATGGAGTCGTTGCAATCATCATCCACCAAATTACAGCACTCCCAATAGCGCACTGAATACTCACGTAAGGTTTCATTAGTCTTGATTTTCATTACCCACAATGAGTCTGTCTGTTTCAGCTAGGTCTCGTTGGTAATGAACCTAACCCTAAAGGATTTTTGGAGTTGATGGAAACTCTCAATCGAAGTTGACTCGAGCTTGTAATACCATCTAACGGCAAGCTGTCCCAGACTGCTAGGGAATATCCAGCACATAAGTGCCTTGTCATCTGCATGCAATATCATTGCTTGCTTGTAATGGCACACGTGATCCGTGGGATCCGACTTTCCATCATAAAGAGTGAACGATGGTGCTTTAAATTTCTTAAGCAAGACGACCTTGGCAATACGTCGTATAAAAGGATCGTGCTTGTCCTCTGAGTCTGAATCATCGTCTTTCTTCTTTCACCCATGATGCACTTGCGGAGGACTTCCCCTATCTGACGAACTAGACGCGTCTACTTGGCCTTGCTTTCTGGGTTTTTCCAACAGAGTCTGACATACTGCTACCAACTAATGACGCAGGCACTCATTTTTCACTGCCATGTCTTCAAGACGCTGTTCACTACGTTGCATCCGATTCATCAATGTTTGTATGGCATTCTTTGTGGATGTTGAACGCTGAAATAGGGTTAGCAAGTCAAAATTCAAAGACCTCCTTGCAAGGGTTTCTTCTGGGCCTAAAATTGCTCCTGTTGTAGTATTATCGACTCCAATGACTAGAAAATCTTGGTTTGGACTTGCCATGGATGAGTTAAAGTATTCCTACAGACGGCGCAAATTGTGTAGAAGTGGATATAGAATACTCCTCTCTTCTAATCCAAACAAGCTCTTTGATAATCTTCCCAGCTATCACTTGAAATAAAAATAAAACTCCGAACGGTGGTGCCGGAATTAGCACTCCGACGGACAAGTTAGTCTCTGTAGAAAGGTTGGTGTTTTCTAGTTTTTTGAGATTCAAGGTTCTTCGCACATACCTCCTGGGGCTTCCCTCCTCCTTTTATATCGTTATTCTTCTCGATATTTTTTCTATGTAACCTAGCCCCTCATTATTACTCTTTCTGGGCCCATCTCCCTACCACATTTTATTAAAAGAAAGGACAATCCGAATTTGCCTGACCTGGTTAAGCCGACTTTGCTCAAGGTAGCCTAAACCCAACATACTCTCCATATTGCTGTGTATATTCGGTAATAGCCCAATGTCTGATGGGCTTGGGTTTCATCAAGCCCATCAGAGATGGACTTGTACTCTATTTGCCGTTCGGGATAATCCTCTTCTCAGACCCGAAAATTATGATTTTCCATTTGGCTTTATCATTGACAGGTCTAACAAGATTTAAACTACTAAACAGAGAGGTAAGTAAAGATTATGAAATTTGAAATTTTTAACTAGATTGAATAACCCATATATAACTACCGTGTTTACATACTTCATAAATTACAGCAAATTTTTAGCAATAGGAGACCATCAAATTATTAACCCGTTGCTCCCAAAATTTTGGGTTTTACCAACAAAGAACTAAAGAAATCACCAAAGGCTCTTCAAGAAGAAACCAAAGACAACACAACATTTTCAAAGTTTTCGACATCTTCATGGCGTGTAGAGCACAACTTGCAAAGATTTCACGGTTTGGTCAACAGATTCTTAATATAATTATGAACTTCATCCACATTAACCGTCCATGCAACTGAAACAGGGGAATAGCCTGTCCATGGATTGCTTGAATTCCATCTGCATTATATTATCAAGAAAATAAATTAGAAACAAAACTACAAAGGCTAAGATACACCAAAAGAGCATTGTGCTTTTAAAAACATACATTTTTAGTCCTTGGTCCATCAGTGTATGCCCCAGACATATCCCTTGTGTCTCAACTCGCACAACCCCTTTCTTGTACGTAAAGAGATCTGGCCGAACCAGTGCCACAAAACTGACTGGGTCATGAAGGAAAATCCCTGAATTTATCAACTTTAAACTGTTAATTCAGTTAAGTTTATAATTGATTTCAATTAAGAATTAAACAGTGCAATTTTAAGACTATCCAATTTATGAATATAAGGGTCTGTTTTGATGGATGCGGATTTCAATTCAAGAGATATGAGGTTGAATTGCATAAAATATTGGAGAGTTAGGTATTATAGGTGGATAAAAATACTATTAAAGAAGGTAAGTTGAAACAGAAGGGATTGAAGTCAGAAGCAGAATGCTAAAAATGATTTCAAATAACTGCTTTTGTATTAGTTATTTTAAATCCATCATGAAAAAGCTATTTAATTTAATCTTGAAATTCATAGGTCAACAAACAAATCTAAATTTGAATTGTTCTCTTGGAATGATTAATGTCAAATCCATGCATTTCAAATCCCTAAATACAAAAGCAACCTAAGATTACCATGGACTCCGTCAGATGCAACATGCCAATCTCTGTAGAATTTGCACATTTTGCTGATTAATTGAACGTGTCTTCCCTGAGACAGCCTCAATTCATCAAGGTCAGCATCTGAAACAGTAATATAGATTTAATTTAGTGGAGAATAAATCCCGTATGATAATGAGCAGTACACGAGATAAAACTAGAACAAAGAAAATCAAAGGTGAACTTGGACCTGTCAATTTGACTTGAGTTGTTATGTTTATGCCAACAACAACAATATTTGCCCCAGATGTAAACACAACATCTGCTGCTTCTGGATCCCCATAGATCTGCAAGTCAATAAACAAATGTATATTTTCTCTGCATTAAGCTGAAGTTGAATTTGATTGACCGAAAACTAGAACTCCCTCGCTCGAGTTGCTTAGTGCAAAAATAAAAAAATCCCTAGAAAAGACAGATAGTGTGAAACTGACCCTGAAAACTAACACTAGTGGTTATATACACGTGCTGCTATGGCAACATCAGCTGCCAAGCCTGCAGCAGTTGTCTTAAAACGAACTTACTTAATAAGGCAAGCAAGATGCCCAAAGTCTTCCCTTTTTTTCACTCTTCTTTTGTTTTTCAACTTTTATATTTTATTTTATTGTTTGTACTTTGAAAATGAGTTCCACTGAAATAGAATTCCCTGTTTGGTTTTTGCTTAAAAAACTGCTTTTCTGCTATTTAAGCAAAAAAATAAAAATTGGTTGTTTGGTTTTAGCTGATTTAGGTGACACAGGAAAAAAGGCACTTCTTTAACAAAGCCCACCCTGTTCACCTAGTGCTAATCAAGACATTTTTTTTTTAGAACTCATCTTCAGTGATTTTTTAAAAATTTTACTTTATAGGTCATTCTAGTCTTGAAGAATCTAAAAACTAAAACAAAAGAAAAAACACAAAAACTTTACTAAGACGAATAAAAAAATTCCAAATCCCACTTGAGCTTTCCCAATAGCTAAAAACAATTTTTTTAACATTTGTCAAATGCATCAGTTCTTTTAGTAACAACTTTGTCCATAAAAAGTAAAAAAGCAAAAAAGCTACTAAAAAGCATTGGCCAAACCACCCCTAAAGGCTAAAGCTTCATATACTTCCAAATCTCAAAAGATTTAATACATCTACAATAGAATTGTTTGACAGTAAGAAATGTTCTGGTTCGTAGTGTATGTAACAGATTATAAGGGAATGTAGTAGTATGTTGATCACTACTTACATTTGCTTCAGCAGCAGGATTGACATTTCCCAATGCAAAGAAAGATCCACCAAGGATGACAACTTTTTTCACCTTGCTTGCAAAGGATGAGTCCCTTTTAACAGCCTGATCAAAAATTCAAATAAATAAATCCTTATTGAGTACATCAGTGTCAAGGGCAAACGAGAGAAGATTGAAAATGTGATACTCGTGACAGTGAATGGGAGGGAGGAAAAAATGCTAAAATTTACCTTAGCCAAATTTGTCAACGGCCCCAGTGCAAGTATGGAAACTTCACCAGGATATTCAGAAACCATATCCACCAAAAATTCTGATGCCGTCTTCTCAATTTTCTTGGATTTTGGAGGAGGTAAATTTGTGTTCCCCAATCCATTTGCACCATGAACAAAGTCTGCAACAAGTGGTTTTCCCCCCTGTTCCAAAGCAGATTACATGCTAAGCATAATACAATATAGTTACCAGAATAAGAGAAATGGAAGCTGGAAAACGATCAAGAATCAAATGAAAAATCTAATAAAAATCTTGGTAAGAAACTTTTGCAAAACAGAAAGAAATAAACCAATTAAGTTAGTAGTATAAATCTTTGTTAAATACTAATCTGGTAAGTAACGAGTTATAAATTAAACTTTAATAAAGATATAACTATTGAGTAAAAACCTATAGATCTAAATTTTTTAGTTAGATAAAACAACATCCAATTAGTACACATTAATATCTAATGAAATGTTTCCAGAGTCTGTCAAATGTGTATGCCATACAGTGCTCCCATTAAGATATTACATAACTAACCAATTATATGCCACCAACATGAGATGTATGAATTTAAAAATAAATTAAAATAAAATGACAGGCCAACTATGAAGCACGGATACTTCAGAAAGGGTGACGTATCCGTATCGGACACTTATCGGATACCGATACTCCTCGGATACTCGCGGATACATATCGGATACTTCTTAAAAGTATCGGATACTTCTTAATTAATTTTTTATTAATTTTGAAGTATCGGATACTTAATTTTGAAGTATCGGATACTCGAAGTTACATATTACTTATAATATTTTGTTTAGTTCTTTCATAAGAGGAATATAGTGAGAGCTTAAGTAATAGAATTTGTCAAATTGATGTATCCTTGTTGTCTCTCTCACTTCTCTCTTGCTTTCTCACTCTCTCACGTTCCTTCTCTCTGCTCTCATTCTTTTTTTGGTGTTGGCATGTAAAGGATGATGTTTAATTTGTATTTGTATTTGCATTTGCATTTGCTTTTGCTTTTGCTTTTAGTTTTGGATGTTTTATGAATGTTTGAGCACTTTTAGGTTAATAGGAATCCCTCTCTTTATTTATTAATTTACTTTAAGTTTTATTTTCATGCATATTACATTATTAAAATCACAAAAAAAAAAAAAAAATTATAAATGTATCCCCGCTGTACCCGTATCATACTTTTTCAAATTTTGACATATCGCCATATCCACATCCCCATATCACCATATTCGTATCCGTGCTTCCTAGGCTATCATTGATGACTTTAAAAAGTATATTTGCTGAAATTTTTGTTTAAGAATAGCCTTGGCTTTAGCTAAGGTCTTGTGATATTCACTGATGAAGGGGAACAAGTTGAAACTATTGACCTTGAAGACTCTTAGTTTTGTAGGAATCTTTCTTCTTTATCAAGTTGTCTTTTGCTTTAAGTTTTATTTTTATGCATACTGCATTACTAAAAATTGTTAAAATAATATTTTTTACGAACGTATCCCCGCCGTACCCGTATCCTAGTTTTTCAATTTTTGTCGTATCGCCGTATCGTATCGTATCGTATCCGTATCCCGTATCCGTATCCGTGCTTCTTAGCAGGCCAAGCTAGTGTATTGAAATATAGAAAACCCTCATTTGCATCCTTCATATACTGGTTATAGTCCCATCACATTGAATAAGACACCATACTGCCACATAGTCATAGTTTAGAATCTGATGCTTCAAAAATCTGGGCAAAGGGAGCTGTGATGGGTAGATATGGTGTGCAGCCTTTAGTTAAGCCTTAGTAATCATGAATGCCAAAAGTGATTGTAAATTGAGTAGAATGGTGAATAAGGAACCATGAAACTAATCCCTAGTAAGTTTACATAGACTTCATCTCGTTGAATCCGAATTGTGTCAGAGACAACAGATGACAGTGCAGCATAATACACTACAGATAGCTGGTGCTTTTCTAGGATTCTAGGATTGTCCATTTAATCTATTAATATAAACTTTTCAAATTGTAACATCAACAAACTCAAACAGTCAAAACAATCATCAAACAGTAGAAGCAGCTGTTTGTCAATAATGGTAATGAAAAAATGAAGAATAGTTCAAAAACTTTCCAAATATTAGTCTAGTGTACTATAATAAAACCAGAATTTTTAATGGACTATACACACAAGATCCACATATTCAAGAGTACGTTAATGTAGTGGTTCAACAAACCAAACTTTAACGCAACTAATTAGGATGGTTACATGAGTACTTTACTTCCCCATTTAGCTCTTTGTAAAGCCATATTTTCAGATAAAATAATGTCAGCCTTATCCTTTCTCCTTCTCTCCAATCATCTTCTTTTTTCATTTTCTTTTTTTTTTTTTTAAAAAAAAATCAATAACAGAATTTATAATAAGAACAAAATAAAAAAATTTCCCTTTCCAAAATCGAAGCTGAATACAAATTCCACAAATGTAGATATCATGAAGCAAGAATTAAGATTGGATTTTGTAAAAGAAACAGAACAGTTCTTGTCATATCATAGAATGAGTTCTTGGGCATGCCACAACAGAAAAGGAAAAGTTGACTGCAATTGAAAAAAAATATTAAGTACTATATTACTACTTTGAGCTATTTTTAAAAGGTGAGAAAAGATAAATATATGATAAACTGATAACAACTTACCAAGGCAGTTAGTTTCCTTCTTATTATGTCTTTATTTTAAACAAGTTTTTAAACTGGTTGTTTCAGCTAGTTATTTATTCATAGAGTCATTGACAACCTATTTTAAGATAACCAATGCATCCTAACTCATAGCATAAAAAAATTAAATAGAAACAACTAGTTATTTATTCATAGAGTCATTTACACTCTGTTTGTGTGTGCATGTGCTACACATGCATGTCTGTTTTCCCTTGTCAATAAATAAATAATAATCATATGCATGTCTGTCTACACGGAGCACCCACACACATATATATATATATATATGCAACCACGGAACTCCAAAGCTATCTAGTTTATAAAAGAAAGGACTGAGCATGTTAAGCACTAGAAAGGGAGAAAAAAAAAATGTATTAATTCCATCCAGTCCAATTTGATCTTAAAATTAAATGTAAAAGCAGTTACCTTCAGAGGCTCAGGGCTACCCTCTGCCACGGGAACACCTGGATATCCTGCGATCTCACACTATCCTTTTACAAATCAAAAATAGTAATTGATCATGAACATGATCGAAAAACATGAAAGAACTGAGATTATGAGAAATATATATATATATATATAATTGTATAGGAAAATGGCATCAACTAATTACATACCAGAAGCAGTGCATTGCGAGTGGCACCTTCTATACTAACATTACCAAATATTGTGGTTAAACCTAAGACCTCCAGCTGTGGGCTTTGAAAGGCCATGAAGATAGCCATGCTATCATCTGTAAAACAACAAAACTCCCATTCACATCTCACAACATTTTGAATTGGATTAACATATCCAGTAATGTGTTTGCTTTAATAAAAAATGTGTTCTTGATAAATTCATGGGAAATGTAATCTTTCCTATTGAACGATTCATCACAAAGAATTCTTGGTTCTAGCGAATGTTTTATCATGAAATGAAGAAAAATCAAAGTTGTTTGACAGTTAGATTACAGGAAATATCTTTACATGATCTTTTGTCTTGGAAGTTCCCTTTTTTTAATGGGAAATAGTTCCTACAAAAGCCCACTTCTCTCTCTGCCATTTTGTTTACAAATAAATATTACAGGAAAGGAAGGCGAAGAAAAGAAAATTTTGTTTTGGAAAGCAAAAATTTGCTTTAAAGTAAAACAAAAATGCAACATGCACCACCAAAAAAAAAAATCAAAGAAAAGTGCAGAGAAAAATCATTGTGTGAGCCAAATTCATTATGTGATATGAATCTAGGCCACTCAATGATTTTTCTACGCTCTACTCTTCTTTTTATAGTTTTCTGTGCACGTAGCATTACTAAAAGTAAATATTAGCAAGAAAGGAAGGAGTAGAAAAAGAAATTTTGTTTAAGAAATCAAAATCTGCTTGAAGGTAAAAAAATTTCTTTATTGTGTCCAAAAAAATAAAATAAATGATTTGAAAAAATGTTGGAATGTGTCCCACATCGCCTGGAGTTGCCCTATCTGTGCTAGTTATAAGCTCCAATTTCCCTCTTCTTAACACCTAGGTTTTAAGGAGAAGAATGGATTGGGCTTTTCAATTAAAATAAGTATAATCCAAATGCTCAACAATATCATAATTTCGATGTGAAAGTGAATTTTCCTTTCACATTTCTCATAACATAAAAAAGAAAGAAAAAGAAACAATTACATGTCGGAGTTCAAAATGGATGGTAATTTTAAATAAATAAATAAATAAAAAGAAGAATTTTTTTTAAATACATAGTACTATACTTTTCAAGATGTTCTACTACTAACTGCTAATTTCCCCTTGGCTAAAAAGAACCCTAAACTATGATTATTCCACAGAAAAGTAAGTCCATTTCATCTACAATCTTCAATCTTCAATGACATGGTGGCTTGTTCACACAGCATATGAAAAGAAACCAAAAGTTGGATCCCTATAACTTATTTACAGTATTACTAGACCACTTTCTTCAATTCCCATATTCTATAAACTCCTAAAACTGAAATAAAGTACAGATTATAATAAGTTTGAAATATTTTCTATAGCCATTAAGAATGAATAATCATTCAAAACAAGCACTTGGTAAGACCTTAGATTTAATTGTTCTTCATAAGGAGAAAGAAAATCTCAACTAACACAATTCAAAAATCAATTCAAAAAGCCCCATTATAAATAAAAAGTCAAAACATATAACAACATTTACACCCAAGTATAATTGAAGAATCAAGAAAATTAATTTAAATTAAAAAAAAAAAAAGTGATGATATATAAGCAAATGTATGATGTATATGTATATATAAGCAAATGTAGGAAAAACCCACTTACCAATACCAGGATCTGTATCGATAATGATCTTCTCACGTTTACCCATTTCGTTTTCGCTGACGAATGTGGCATACCCGTTAGTATTCGACATTGAAGAAGCCATGAACGACCCAATCAGAGAGAAAAAAAAGGTTAAAAGCAGAACAAGGGTTCAGAAATCTGAGAGAGCGAAATAGGAAGATGTCGATGCAATACTCATTAACATTCAGATATATAAATATATATATATATATAGATGGGTAAGGAAGCAATGAAATTGATTTTGTATGCTTTTGTAGGGACGGCGAGACTGATGTAGAAAGCTCAGCTGCCTTGGTAGCTCTCTCCACACCGGCCACCACCACAAAACGCTCTCTCTCTCCCTCCCCTCTCTCTTGCGTTGCGTGTATGATATGATATCTATCGATACTCTCTGAGTGTCCTCGGTGGGTACGAAAACAAGACCAAACGCTTTGCCGCTCTCTCTCTCTCTCTCTCTCTCTCTCTCTAAGCCAGTTAAACGAATTAAAAATTGTGAAGTGTCACGGGTCCTAATGGATATGGATATCCTACCATGAATAATATTCCCTTTGTTTAGTTTCTATTTTTTAAAAACAGTTTTCAAAAAATTCTATACTCTTATTTTTTATGTTTTTTTATTTTTATTAAATTTTTTTAATATTTTATGTAATTTTTTATTTTTTAGACACACCTAACATTAATACACCTAAAAAGTAAAAAAATTGTAAAAAAATCTTTTAAAAATTCACTAAATATCAAAAATCATTCAGATATATAAATATATATATATATATAGATGGGTAAGGAAGCAATGAAATTGATTTTGTATGCTTTTGTAGGGACGGCGAGACTGATGTAGAAAGCTCAGCTGTGCCTTTGTAGCTCTCCACACCGGCCACCACCACAAAACGCTCTCTCTCTCTCTCCCCTCTCTCTTGCGTTGCGTGTATGATATGATATCTATCGATACTCTCTGAGTGTCCTCGGTGGGTACGAAAACAATACCAAACGCTCTCCCGCTCTCTCTCTCTCTCTCTCTCTCTCTCTCTAAGCCAGTTAAACGAATTAAAAATTGTGAAGTGTCACGGGTCCTAATGGATATGGATATCCTACCATGAATAATATTCCCTTTGTTTAGTTTTTATTTTTTAAAAACAGTTTTCAAAAAATTCTATACTCTTATTTTTTATGTTTTTTATTTTTATTGAATTTTTTTAATATTTTATGTAATTTTTTATTTTTTAGACACACTTAACATTAATACACCTAAAAAGTAAAAAAATTGTAAAAAAATCTTTTAAAAATTCACTAAATATCAAAAATATAAAAAAATACAAGAATTTAGTACATTTTTTATATTTTTATGTATTTCTTAATTTTTTAAAATATTTTTTCACAATTTTTTTACTTTTTAGACACATCTAAGTAAGGTGCATCTAAAAAAGTAAAAAAAATGTTTAAAATTTTAAAAATATTCACTAAAAACAAAAAAACACGAAAATCAAAAAACTCAATTTTCAAAAAACTTAATCCAGAAAATTCAAACCAAACACAGTGATTAGGATTCACGAAAAAAAAAATTATGAAATGTTTCATGAAAAATTTTCATCCTTTGATTAATGTGTATTATTTTTTTGTATGTATAATTTAATAGTGAAGAATCTTTCATAATCATTTTCATAATATTTTTTTCATGATACTTAGCATTATTCTCTTACGATATTCCTTTTGTCATACATGATTAAAAGGTTGTTTGAAATGTTCTAAATAAATGATTTTTTATGAAATATGGGTTGGGTACGATTAAGGGTTGTTTGGGATGTTCTAAATAAATGATTTTTTATGAAATATGAGTTGTGTTTGAAGTGATGTAATGCAGAGATGATATGACTTAAATAAAATAGTGACTTTTTGACTTTTTAATTTTTTTAAGGGATGCCAAACCTAACCTAAATTACTGAAGAAACATTAATACTACATATCCAACATAAAAACTTATAAATTATTGAGAATTTTATATTAATAGCTTAAATTTATTTTATATGTCAATTTTATATTTTATCAATTCAACCTCTATCACATATATTTATTTCTAGGTAAATTTTAAGTTTCAAATTTTGAGACCCTAACTTGTTTTTTGATGAGTAAATTATAAATACATCTCTAAAATTTACTCAAAAAAGGGAAAAAGTTGCCAAAATTGGAAATTAGGGGGATTAGGGAGGAAGTTTTTAGGGCTCCAAACCATTTTATCAATTCAACCACTATCACATATATTTATTTCTAGGTAAATTTTAAGTTTCAAATTTTGAGACCCTAACTTGTTTTTTGATGAGTAAATTATAAATACATCTCTAAAATTTACTCAAATATAAATTATCTTATATAATTTTTAAAAGAGAGAGGCTTCTCACTAGTTACCCCAACTAAAGGGTGCTATTGAGCCTTCGTAGGCCTATCATGGAGTTGGCATTGAGAATCTAAATTGTTCAATTTGTAAATCTCGTGGAGTATTTCATCTCTGTAAAAAATTATATTGATCGGATATCAATAGTCACTTAATCATATCACATTTGTATAAACAATTTATTTTAAAAATCATACTTACCATTGACAAAAATATAATTTGATTAAGTGACTATCGATATCCGATCAATGTTTTTCTTTTTTTCTTTTCTTTTTTTTTCTTTTTTTTTTTTGCAGGGATGTAATACTCAACTAGCCCTACACATTGGATGATTCAGATCATTGGTGCGAGCTCCGTGGTCAGCTCATAGAGACTCAACAACAACCTCTAATCCGATTTGAACTGGAGAAAAGTTGCGGCCTTTTGAAAATTACATCTCATCTTTTGAAGTTTCAAATTTCATATAAATATTCTGTTTTTATTAATAAATAAATCATAAAATTAATTAATAATTTTTAATGATATCATAAATTTATTTTAAATAATAATTCAAATAACTCTATTATTGTATAGGAGACAGTTAATAATCTTATTTTTTTTCAACTAATTCTATTAAATACAAAATTATGAGAAGATGGTATTTATAATTTTTCAAACAATATGAGACAATCCGTATTTTAAGGAAAACTCAAGAAGTATATTTGTAATTTACCCATTAATTATTTATAGTAAATTATTGGAAGTCCTTAAACTTAGCCCACTTTTGGAGAATTTTTTTGGGTTATGTACATCGGAACTCTCTAAACTATTGACAAATATCACTTTAACCTCTTAAATTATAAAAATAAATAAATAAATCATTAAACTATTAAGAAATATCACTTTGTCTTCTAAACTATAAATCGTACAAATGGATTCCTTAAACTATAAAAAAAAAGTATAAAAGGTTCATACGTACGCTTTTACAGTTTATGGAGTAAAGTGATGCTTCTTAATAATTTAGGAATCTATTTGTATGCTTGTATAGTTTATAGAATCAAAATGATATTCCTTAATAATTTAAGAGGTCTTTGTATAAATAACCCAATTTTTTTTCAACTCTATGGTTCAAAATTTTTAAAAGAATAAGGGCAGTAAACTTTTCAATATTAGTTCCTTCCGCAATGCGTTTTACGAAAATACCCCAACAATAGTTTTTTTTACTTTTTGAGTGATTTTGAAAATATTAAAAGTAAATAACTTCTGATTTTATATCTATTTTCTGCCAAATTCATATTCTTATAATTTTTTCATCAAGATCTGTGAAATAAGATCCATAAACAATATAAAATTTTTATTAAAAAAAAATGCATGAAATTTCACTGTAAAAAGTCAATGAAAACACAGTGAAATTTCATTTAGTTTTGCATATTGAAACCTCACTACTAGACTTCGAATTTTTTTATTAAGAAACTAAAAATTGTAAATTTAAGATTCAATTATGAAAATTAGCAACCTAATTTCAAATTTATATCTAAAAATTTGAAATTAAGTGTTATAAAATGATGAAATTTAAGTTAAATTTCACTTACTGTCTCGGTAAAATTTCACTACAACAGCAAAAATTTATTGTGCAATATATAAGGAATAAAGAACAATGGAGAAGAGATAAAAAAGGGAAAGAGAATGAGAAGAGAATGATGAAAAAAATAAATCAAGGAAGATTGTGCAAGGAATTTCATTGCGCAAATGAATATCATAGAGATATGAATAAAATGATATTTGAGAGATTACGACGGTGGTGAACAATGGCGATGGCGGTGGCAGATGGTGGTTGTGATTGATGGATAATAGCACACGGTGGCAGTGGCGGTGGAAGACAGAGACAATGACAACCTCTAGATCTGAAGCATATAGAGAAAACGTCACAAACAAAGAGAGAGTTCTGGGGAAAGAAAAAAATTATGGTTGCAAGGTTATTCTTATCTTTTAAATTAAAATATTTCCTTATTCTTCTAAGGTTTGAAATCTTTGGGATTTTAATTACCAAACAAACATTTAGTGCTCTAGAACTCTAACACAAACATGTAAAGGGATGTATCCATAATTTTTTCCTTTTTTAATTAGGTTTTTAAATTAAATTTTTATTCAAATAAGTTTTAAACTTTTTAGTTAATTTAATTTAGGAGTAAAACCATTTATCACTTGACACTTGTTAAGTTATTTCTCAAAAACCAAACAAAAAGTATTGGGTCCTACTATTTTAACTAATGAATATCAAGTTGGAGTACCACATGGCATTACTTGAGGAATAAAAAATAATTTCTCTTAATTTAGACCTTTTTATATTTTGGACAACTTTTGATAATTTAATATATGATATAAGATCAATCTAAAAAATAAATTAATAAAATTTAATTCTAAAATTTCATAGTATATAAAAAAAATCATTAACATAAAAAAATGTTGATTCTACGATTTTTTTTATATTAGGAAAATGAAGATTAATTTCATTAATTTATTCTTTAATTAATGTACTTAACCACCAAAAATATAGAATGTAATAGAAGGACTAAGGTAAACAAATTCAAAAAGTTAGAGAGTTTAATTGAACCAAATTTAACTTAAGGGCTTAATTGGAAAAAAATATATATATATTCAAGGGCGTGTGACATAATTTGCATAATTATTTATTCAGCATAGCCTACGCAATGTTTCACTACAATAATTAGAGAACAGCCACATTTTTTTTTCTTTAGATAACTTTAATTATTATAAGATTATTATTAAAAGATAAAAAGCAGGTCATGGCTGGCTCATGCAACAGTAATGCAATGTTGATTAGGCAATAAAGTGTTGTTTATTTTATAAAATTATTCTAAATTGGTTCCATGATACCAAACTTTTGGTTATAACTGTTTTGCCTCATCAACAGCCTGAGTTATACTTAATCAATGTGATTAGTCCAATTGACCAAAACTCCTATATCTCACTAAGAAGTTATTGGAAAATGGGTAAATTATCCGGAAGTCCTATTTGAAGAGGAGAAATCTATTTAATCTCACAACTTTTTGGATGC